ACACGCACGATCTCCGCAGAGGGTTGCACTTTCGGTTGACGCTGTTCGTCCCACCCTCCGCCTTTAAGAGAGAATTTATAAAGTGGGGAAATGTTTTTTCATTAGGACATCTCCCGTGCTAGTCATTGCATGCTTGCATACTCACACTTGCATACTTTGACCCTGGCATACTTCACACTTGGATGCTTTCGCTCTTCCAGTGTGTGTGTGTGTGTCAGTGTGAGTGTCGAAGTGTAAGTGTGTCAGTGTGAGTGTCGAAGTGTAAGTGTCGAAGTGTCAGTGTTCAAAGGATTTTCCGGAAGAACCCTTCGCAATGCTTTCGGGAAAAACTACCCCCAAAATCGACCATGTTGGTAGTTTAGTAGCTGTTTGAAAGGGCGGGAATTTAAAACCAAATATAAACCGAATTTAGGGGTTCGGACGTTGTGTTTTTTAAATTGGGGAGTGTTTATTAATAGGTACTCGGGGTTAATTAAAATGCACTTACAGGGCCACGAAAGGCATTGGATTGCTAGCGTCCATTCATGCCAACAGCATTCGGCCTGCTTCACCGCAGTGCCCTGCACAAGCCCTAGTGCACTTTCCGCGTCCAGCTTTGGTAGCCAAGCTACCTCAGCTGAGGGGGGTGTACTTTCACTCCATGTAATATGTACCCTGCACATATGTATAGGATGTCATATGATGTCATCATACCAGACTACTGCAGCTCGCGGCCCAAAACAGGTGTTGCAGCTTAACGGCTGTTTCTATAGATATCTGATGTTTGAATGTGCACGCACTACAATGTCAGCAATAGGGACACTTTTTACATTTCTGTGCATAGGCTGGCAATTCGATGTAGAACGCTGAACAAGTTCCGTTCCATGTGTGCATCAACTTGCCATTAGGCCTTATGATGCAGTTTGAGCTTCCAGACAAGTCCATAAAGGAGTACCAATGGCGAGCTCAACCAGTCGGCCTGACTTTCAAAAGCTCAATTGACCAAATTTCTGTTCTGAAAGTGACCAAGTCCAGCTTGGCAGAACAGAAGGGCATCCATGAGGGCTATGTTTTGAAGAGATTCGGCGAACACAAACGAAAGGTGGACGTTGCAGAAGCACTGGCAGCAGGCAAAAACCTTTCACGAATTATGAAGGAGTTGGAAAAGTTCACTGACAAGTTGCCAAGCGCAAGCAGCCCAGCAGTTCTCAGCTCTCTGGAAATTATCGACACGTTGGATACTCGATTTCAAACTTTCTCAGGAGCCGATTGATTGGCCTTCCTCAAATCGTGTTGAATAAATCGCTTTGAATAGGCTGAAACTTATGCGCCGGTTCTTCACTGCAAAGCAGAGAAAGCATCCCAAATTCAAGAGGCGCTGGCGCTTCAGCAATCGTTCATTGCTCAAACAGGCTTTAGCCCTCTGAGACGTTGTGTTTCAACTTCAGCCTTTACCTGGTGTTCTTTTGAGTTCATCAGAAGCTTACTCGATTTTTTGTTGTGAACCAGCCTGAGCCAGCCCCTCAACCGCAAAAAACTTTGGCATGCGGCGGACATTGAAGTGGCCGCGGTTCATGAGAAACGCATGAGGGGACAAAAAGAGGTGAGATAAGGTCTTGGCCTTTTCTTTGTGTGTGTGGATTGAATGCCAATCGCAGAACAAATCATCAGGTGCAACTAGGCTGCTTACTGAATTGCTGTGGCAAGGATCAACACCACCCCGCAGACCGGCAAGAACCGCTACTGAGGCCTTTGAATGCTTGCTTTGACCGAAATGCTGATCCGCACATTCTTTATATTATATATTTGTGTTGGCAATTGCAGTCGCTTCAGGCTAATCAATATAATTAGGGCTAGAATCCAGATATGATGTTTTTGTGAGTCTTGTTGATGTTCCTTTGGTCTTGATTTCACCACATCACCGCAGGCATCGCTGGCAGTATCACCCTCCAAATGGGGGGAGGCCGGCCAGTGGGCGTGGCAGCGGGGTTGTGCTGCATTTGTGACTGTGAAGTCATAATGGTGCTAAATAATAGGGCAGATTCCAACATGTTCAGTCAGAGTCTTGATCATTGATTGTAACTTGCAACTTGCTGGATCGTCTTTGTACTGGGAGTTGTATGTTAACTGTGTGCTGAAATTACATAAATCATTGGTGCTGATAGGACAGGACATGTAAAGCCATGCGAACGAACAAAAGAATTACGTTGGAAAACCTGAGGAAAGAACTGTACATGACATGGAACTATGTGGAGAAAGGATGGACATCACACTGGTAAAGGAGTGTGAACCAGTTATCAGAGCTGCATATGTGCCCTGCCTATATCCTTCAATTCAAGTCAATGCAAGGCCATGTTTTGGACTGACAGCAAGCCAAGAGGTGTTTCAATCTAGCGCCATTTCACTCAGATCAACTTCATGGCCTTCGGGTATATAACCTGACCTGGAATCCATGGGGTTGTTTCGTTAGGTTCCTTCCTCTCCACACAGCTGGTGTGTGTGTGTGTGCGTGTGTTTCTGAAGACATTGCGTTGGCAGTTGCGGGTTGTGACTTGCGCAAAGACACGAAGACCCGAAGACGCGAAGCTCCCCTAAGGGTTCACGTCCGTAGCAAGGCTTTAGGTATTCAAGATATCAGGGCGTTCGCAGGGCTTCAAGGCTTTAGAGAAAAGTCACCTGGGATTGCCAGCACACTGAGACGAGCACACAAAAGACATTTCTGTCCACCGGCCTGTAAATCGAGTGAAAGTGAACCTGCCTCAATATGATAATATGTAACTTATAAACATTTTGAATATTGCTATATATTGCTATTCATGCGGGGACGGCCCCGTGGAAGCAATTCATCAACTCAGCAGCTGAGAAGCTTCTGACTCTAGAGCAGGTTGTATCATCACTGCCAGTTGTGCGGCTTTCTGGACAAAGTTCTGAAATTGGAAGTAGGGTGCTCAAGCAGTGTTGAATTGAGACAAGACTATCCTTTAAAGTTATACTTGCAATTTCGGGCGCTTGTAGTAAGGTCCAAGCAGGGACTTGGGGCAACCAGCACGGGCCTTGGTTTGCGTTTCATGGTTGGCAGCTTTTGCATCCAAATGAAGCGCAGGCTGTACGAGAGCCTCTTGCACAACACTCAGAGTTCCTTAAAGTTTGCATGTTGGCAATATTTTGCAGCTCACAAGCAGCTCGTAATTGTGAATCTTCAAACGTTGGAGTACCACATGTGAGGCAGTGCCCGCAGTCTTGTCTAGCAATGAGACTCCAACACTGTGGAGAAAGGCGCTCAGATCAGAGGATGTGCCGGTCATGGGCAATTTCACAGCTTCGTACAATCATCATGGTCAAACAGGCAAGCAGTGGGATCTGTTGTTGGCACTAGTTTGATCAATTTTGCCTATATTGCCTCTAGCAAAGCGGGAGGTAATATACTTGACATGAGAATTATCCAGTCGTGTCAGCCCCGGGGCCCTAGGTTTTGAGCCAAAGCCGCGACCAAAGGCGCTGGTGGTGAGATCATTGGTGTTTCTCGTTTTGAAAGAATGAACCATTATATATATATATATATTTATGATATGATAAAACGATGTAGAAAAGCAGATTATGTAATCTCTCACGAAGACAATAGCAAGCTTGGCTGAGCTTGGAGCTCTGTTTATGGGACTTGGCTCTGCAAAAGGTGTCGCCAGCTCAACCATCGGCTTCATCTGACTTTTGGAAGACCCACGAGCAGTGCGCCCTCAGCACAGGGCGCAATGTATCTATATAAGTGTTGAACATGTCGATGTTAAAATCCTACTTGTCATAGCGAGCCTCAAGGCCTCAAGAGGCGCAAGTTCTTTGTTCCAAGAGGCACATGTTTAGCCTGCAGGAGAGATTTGTTTGTCCTTTATTCCTCTCAGGTATGCCATACAAAGGTCACGCCAGTCAGGAAGGTCAGCGAACCAGAGTTCCTTGTTTGAGCCAAAGCAGAGGCTGGGAATGGGCAATAGAACTGCGGCAACAGGTTTCTTGGGATGTCTGCACATGAGAGCACAAGTTATTCTCACATATTAACTACCAAAAATGACCGCGGAACTCTCTTTCTAGCAAACAACTGCTCGGACAGCTCGGAGATGCTTGAAGCCGGTGGTTGAGTCTAAGTTCTAATTGAGAGTTGGTATGTTGACGAATTATGTTGACAATGCTTTGCACCGCTTTGCGCTGATCCTCGCAGGGAACGCCTGGAGTTGGCTCGTAGATCTGCCTTGGAGGTCCATGGAGAAACGCCCAACGAGTTTGATGTGTTTGTCCCATGTTGTCCCAGCGTTTGGGATTTTGATTTTGCGGTCAAGAATGTCAACTCAACAGGGGCGTGGACAGGAGCCGTCGTGAGCTCAATTGGTGGACTGAGACATTATATAATCAATGCTGTTGAAGTTTCCGGCTTCTACTGTAATTTTGAGCCCTGTACTGTTTTTGATTCAGTGAAGGGTTGTTTGCCAGTTCCAGAATCATATAAATGAACAACCAAGTATGCTCAACAAACCGCTTCATCATTGTGTGCAGATTTTGAGCCATCAGCTGAAAGAGTTGAGTACAAGACCGTAGTGAACTCTGTCATGTTGCAAGTCCTTTGACTTCCAGATGTCGCTGTAATTACGTTGCCAACAAGAAGCTACTAGGGGCTCCTGGCATCGCTACTAGGAGCAAGAACGCCACTAGGGGCTCCTGGCCTTCCTACTAGGAACAAGAAGCTAGTAACCAGTGGTTTGTTTCATGAAGCTGCCTCGCATCGCACGTCCTTTGGCGATGCACTTTTGGTTTGGCAGACTGTAAGAAGCGTTGTGTGTACGCGTAGGCCACTGTGATCCACTGTGTGTGATTTGGGCAGGTTGGGGATGTTGCGGGGTTACAGTACATGCTTGGACTCCATCAGGAAAGAGAGACTTCAAACCGATCCACTCTAATGCAGGCTGTCAGCACTGCACTTGAAATCGGGCATTTGAGTATATGAGTTAATATGACTACCGCTGTTTCTATCTTCTTTAGAAGCCTATCATATTCCAAGACCAGCTGCTTGAATCGAATGTGCGCATTGTTGACTTTGATGGAGATTGCAGCAAGCCGCAACTACATCATCATTTGCTTTTCGCACCGGACCCCGAGTTGATGTTTGATGTGTTAATATGGCAAATAAGGTCAGCACTGAACTCATATCTTCCTGCCAGAAGGGTCAGGTGCGTACTGCTCTTCAAGCTTCTGTTTGGAATTTGCACATCCAGCGCCACAGCGCCAGGCCGACAGAATCTGCACCGAATTCAGGATGCAATGCATGCAAAAACTGATCAGCCGGACAGCATTCCCTGGCAGCCCGTTGCAGGATATGTAAATGATGCACCTTCGCCATCAAGCCCTGCTGCAAAGGCGACAACTATCGAACCAATGAATTGTACCTTGAGTTTTGGTACAGTACTGCAAAACCATAGCCGAGTATATATCACCAAGGATTCAGCTGACTGCGGGCCTGTCCAAGACTTAGTCTTTTTTTTGCTTGTGCTAAAGCAAGTGTCCACTTCTGCGTTGAGGATGCTTACCATCTTTTGCAACAGCTTGCGAAGAAGCTCAATTTAAGCGGGCCACCGCTGGACAGCTTCATGCAGTTTGCTTTGCCAACGGTGCCGGCAATTCCGATGACAAGTGATGCAATGCAGGACTATTTGGCAGGTCCGTCCGATCCATTGGTGTCCGCTGCAAATGGCGTCTATCAGCAAATGGCGTCTGCTGCAGAGCTCCCAGACGGGTCTTACAATGCCGCTGCTGCGAACCAGTTGTTTTTTTTCAGAAATCAAGAAACACACTGAAAAGATTTGAAAAGATTGGTGAAACAATGTAGGAGACTGATACGTTGATCCATATTGGATGGCACTTGAAACCGCCAAATCTTTGTTTGTCAAACTTCTGATTCAAACAATCATAGAGGATTAGGAAGAGGAAGGGACTGATGACTGGGAAGTCGTGAATAAACTCTTGCAGTAAGAGAACCTTCAAGTAAGAGGATGAGATGAGAGCTCTTCAAGTAAGAGGGGATGGCGATGATAGGTCACAACTGGATGGAGCTCCCATTAACAAAGTATACCCAACAAGGTTTACCCAAGTGAGGCGTCTACAGACAAGAGACTGGCTTTTTGGAAAGGCGGATGCACTGAGGCAGGACGATAGGACTACTGTATCAATTCCATAAAGGACAGGCCTCGTGGACAGAAACGGAACATATAGGAAGAGAAGGGGTGAGATACCACCAAGGATGAAGGCTTCACAAACGAACACATTCATACAGGATGAGGATGAGGTATTCATAAAGGCGTAGGAGTCTTGAAGGACTTTGCCTGGTAATAGGATGTACCCAAATCCTTACCCTTTTTGGTTCAGCAGAGAGCTCTTGTACAGGAGGCTACTTGTCTAAGCAAGATAAAGCAGAAAGAACACGTGTATGAGGGCTGCAAAGACGAGTTCAAAAAGAGGGAGGCAGGTGAAGGAGAGACATTGAGAAAGCAGGAGGCTTGGACAAAACCGGAGATGGTGTGGTAGTGGATACGACCATTGAAACATATTGTTATAAAGAATGTACCTAAACTTATTGTGCGAGGATATTGATTTTCATACTTTTGGGATTCCAGGAAGATGCTGGGATTGGGTGAACCAGAGCCCGAAAAGGAACACATAATAACGAGGAACACATATAGTTATTTTTATTGTTGATCGAGTTTTTGCTGGAGTTGTTTCTTCTCTTCTTGCAAAAGTGTGCAAAAACATTGCCCAAAAGGTCCTCTAGAGTCTAGAGCGGCCCTTTCTGATATGGGTAATAAAGACGTGCGTGGTCGCCTGTAGAAGTGGCTTTGTTTTGTTTGTCCGATCACTCCACCACAGATCTAGGCTATAAGTGCGTTGTGAGTGCTTATTGCTGGTGTAGAGGCAAGCTTTGGCCCCTTTCAAGCAGATGCCAAGCCAGCTCTTGAAGACCCGGACGACAAATGGCAATGAGAGTGCATGCAATTTCCTGCATTGTCTTTCCATGATGTACCTGTTTTATTTTCATGTGCGGTGCCTTTCATTTTCGTTTCATTTGCTTTAATGTTCTGTTCATTTCACCAATTTTCTTGTCAAAAGCAATGATTTAAGAGTGACAAAAACAAGTGAACAATTGTGCGTTAGGAGAAAAGCTAGTAATGTCCTTGAATGTCCTTTAATTTCCTTTGGTTTCCTGGTTTCCCTGCATGTTGTCTTCATTTTCCTTTCAGGTTCCTTTCTTTGCCCTTCAAACATCGATAAAAACTGAGGGAAATGAAAGGAACCAGCTCAAAACACTATTGTTCACCCTTTTTTCATGTTTAGCATGCAATTGTCTGTAGAACGCTATTTCAACTCAATGTTTTGTTCACTCCCAAATCACTCATATGTGTTTCTCTTCCACACAGTCTGTGGGTAAGTGCGGGAAGCTTCTGGAAATGGAGCAAGGGGCGGACAATAAACACACTCTACCCGAGTGTGTGTGTGTGTAACCCTTGGAATCATAGGGATCCTTTTGGATCTTAGCAGGGGGGCGCAGCAGATGCAAGGGACTGCGCCTAACAAAGCTACCTTGCATCTGGGAAGCCAGGTCTGATCAACCTGGTGTACCTGCTTTTGAGAACCTAAGTACGGCAAAAGCTGTCTCATTCTTTGTTGTGCAGTAAGTGGCTAATGCAGCGGCGAGGAACCTGGCTTTTGCACGCACGTCGTCACCTTGTCGTCCGCTCG